CTCCTTTGCTTCCGGTGTAATAACGAGGTAAAAACTCTGACCATAAGTGAAGTCTCTGTCAAACACCAACAACAGTTCCTCATCCGGATACTCCTGTCAACAACAGAAATGACAAAAACTATGTAAAGATGTAAAAATGTTTCTAGTTTTCAAAAACAATGAACAATTTTTTTTAATTTAATTTCTTTCAACCACAACATAAACATAAACAAATTAGTTTTTATGTGTGTTCTTCTTGGTCCTGGTAGAGTTATGTAAAGTTGTCACTGTACGTGTTTAAAGTAGAATCAGACAGAGAGGAGAAAGTAGGTGAAACTGCCTGGTCTGTTCCCACAGCCCATGACTTGGGGTCTGTGTATCATCAGTCTCTTGGTGGGTATTGACAGAGTCATCTCCATAACAATGGCTCAGTCTCACCAGCACTATCTGCTTCACAGGGCTGAAATCGGACACTGCAGCTCTTCTCTTAATGTCCTGTATGATGTCTTCTTTTTTCAGCAGCTTGTGCGGACTCTCCCTTGTGACGTCTCGGTCAGCGCAGCAACCAAAGAGCTCCTGGGTCGCCGATGTCAGCACCAGTGGGGAAATGTCCTTGGGGTAATCTGGGTAAAATAGGTAAAAAATAAATGAATGAATAAATAAAATCAATGGTAAAGACGGGGGTCGTGGTACCTCCAGAGCACTCACATTATCGGTTAATTCTGTAGGTAAAATGCATTAGATTAGATTAACAAAATGTGTTTTCAGTGATGTATAGATATGAGACAATGATCAATACATCACAAAGCTGCTGTCACAGCTATCGGCCCATTAATAAATCAATAATGTGAACAACAGAAAAAATGAAGCCCCAAGGAAACGGGTCCTTATTAAAGTCAATCTATCTTTCGTAAATTACACGTCAAGATAATATTATATCGAGTACATACAATAAGATCTGACAGTATTTGACGTGAATATAATTAACTATTTACGTCATTGTGTGCTCTTTTACTGCAGGCTGTACATATTTCAGGCTTTACTAATGCACCGCAGATGAGATTTAAATCACATTTGCAGGAATTGGTTAAATGAGGTTACCACAGAGATAATGGGGTGGAGAGGTTGACATGTTATAGTGATATATAGAGAAGGCATAAAAAGGCTTTGACATACAGACACAGACATTAGGTGGTGATAAGCTAAGAGTTTTTGGATTACTTCAAAATATTGTTTAACTGGCTGCAGCTTGGACACATGATAATTCAGCCAGAGAAGAAAGATAATCCTGCAAAATTAATCTTTACACTAATCCTAAACTTTGGGGGGTGGAGTATAATCCAGAAAAACAATTTAAAGATCCCTTGAAACAAGAAGCAGTTTCACTATTTTTTTAAAAATTATGTAGACCAGAGTTTCTAAACCCCCGGTCCATGGACTGTAGTAGTGTACAGTATCCTCACTGACAACTCCTCTTGCCCAGCAGCACAATGGAAATGCGTGAATCCCATTCAACGCACAGTGATGGAAATGAACTAAACATATCCTCAGAAAAAGTGACAGCGTCTCACAAATGTGGCTCCTGATTGGACAGCAGGAGCAAAGAAAGTGAGAGCGATCCAAGAACAACTGAAGAGATTATTAATATGAACGACATCTGGTGAACCATCCAGAAGTTGGATGTAGAACATAGGACTCGGCTGGCATGGAGAATAAAGAAAATATCAAATCAAATTGAAAATATTTGACTCCTGATTGAGGCTTGTCGTTAATAATGATACGCACTAAAGGTTCCTTATGTTTTTTTTCTTTCGTCAACCATCCATCCATACTCCTCCCCCTATCTGAGTCCAGGGCTCAGACCGGGGCAGGCTGTAGTAAACAGAGCTCTGTGTAATGATAGTTTTCATCCTGCCTGCGATCCCGCTCTTCAAAGTCTCTCCACAAGGTTACTGAGGGGACGCTGGGAATGCTCAAGTACAGCCTGGAGTAACCACTTCCCAGCTGGGTGTGTCAACCTACTCCACTCAAACCATATCGGGCCTCACACCAAATCATTGTAGTGGAAAATCACACCCCTCATTTCACAGAGCTATGTGTCAAAATGGCATTTTGTATTCCTGGGAAATACTTGCTCGGAAGCCAAGGAAGGAGTCCGTGATGTGCAAAATTCCACGGCAGTGTAGAATGGAAGTGAACATTTTTAGGTTTGAGCTCAGAGTTATTTTTAAATTGTCTGGATATGAATTCTACAGCACTGTGATCTGTGCACTGCAGAGAATCATTTACTGTATATCATCACTGAAAGGACATATCTGTTAATGAGCAAAATAAATCTGTGTCTGAGTCACCATGTTCTTGTCAAAGATTGTGATAAACATTCTGGTTTAAAGTTGGGTTAGAAACATAAGAATTTGTATTTGAAATACAGTGTCCAGTGAGCATTTAAACTCAATGTAACAAAAGGTTATGACCGTGACGTTCAACGTCCTCCAGCAACCATGACCTAATCCTCAGTGAAAAGATACACTTTGGTCTTTAACCAAAAGCATGTTTGCAGGGAAACTTTTCTGAACGTAAACCAAACCTTGACAATCAGCCCCACAGCTGAGCCGCACACCCAGAGGCTGTGCAACAGTACACTCAGCAGCACAACAGAATAATGCACATGGGTTTTCCGACACCTCAGAAGAGGCTGCGAGAATTTCCTGTTTGTGCTTATGTCACTACTTTTTAAACAGTTGAAAATGTAATAAATGTAATAGATCCATCTATCCATCCATCATATAACGCTTCTTCCTTCGCAGGATCGCGGGGTGGCGCTAGAGGGCAAAGTACTTCACGTACACTTTCAAATTAATGAAGGTAAGACTCTGAAATTAAGCACGCTTTAGAGCAATTAAATATTTATTCTAACATGTTTTTTATTGCTTAATTAAGATGCAACACATATTTACTGATTTAAAAAACAAAAGTCATCAGGTTTAAGCACAGAGTGTCAGAGGTGCAGGAGATCAGACACTCACCTCTGCTCTTATTACCCGCGCTGCTTGCTGTACTTCTCGCTGGCATTTTTGTTCTTTGGACGAATTAACTGATGACGGGGTCTCTGAAAACAACAGGCAATAAAAAAGGAAATCAAGAAGCTACATTTGCATACTGTATGATGCGCTTCTTTGCAATAGTGTTATTACATGTACGTGTAGTGCCATCTTGTGGTCAATTAGAGAATAGCTTGACGTTTTTATACATTTCTGTACTTGTATACCAATACAAGTAAATAACAATGATTTTCAAGTTAACAATTTCATCGTTTTATCACAAGGGCCTCATCAAAAGTGAAATAATTTTATGTAGTTTTTTGTTTGTTTGTTTGTTTTTAGAAAATCACTAAATATAAGTCATAAACTAATGTCTTTTAGGCTAGCTAACTGGTGACATAAACACCGACAAACTAACTCTGCCGCGCCAAACATTTTAATGCAACCTTTTAGTTAGTTTACAAAATTGTAAACTAACGCATGTTACCGTTCAAAAGTAAAATATTCCAAGTAAATGAAAATTAGCAATTACCGTTGGCTGAAACTTTATCTGGAGTTCTGCAGAACACTCTTGTTTGGTTGTCAGGGGATACGACCTAACGCTTGAGTGACAGTTGCCACGGCCAATAAGATTCTAGATACGATCTGACGTCAGAGTGTTGTACTAAGTTACCTGAGAGTCGTACTGACTGTTAGGTGTTTATTGACCAGATTATTAAAGTGTAACTAACGTGTAGGAAGTCAGCTGCTGACTTTAACGACTTAAGTTTTTTCTTTTTTCACCTAGACGACATTAGACCTAAAAAAAGTTCTTCTATACAAAACGGAAACCAAGGCGTTTGGACTCGAACAGCAGGTGGATTTAATTACAGGTTGATTACACTGCTGATTCACATTAGGTAAGAAGGCTGCTAGTTCGAATATATGCTGAACTCGCTTTCTGCTCAAAGCTATTCCCGTGTTAACAGATCCCACATCCTCCAAGTGTTATCAGCAGAAATGCTGTTAACACTAACAACTCGGCGAATTACTAAAAATAAATAGTTTACTATGCCAGCTTTGACTGCAGAATGTGAGCTGCTGTGTGTCGTTCAACAATGTTCAGGTAAAGCTGATTTTTATTTAGCCTCCTAGTCCCCTCAGCCACCGGTTTAAAGACTCATGAACTTGTTTGAAAATAAATTAACTTAAAATATACGTTTCATCCAGGACAGCAATTCTGACAAAGTTCCAATATCGCAACCAATAAATCAAGGAAAATATCATTTTACCATATTCTGGTAAAGCTGGTTGTCGTGGAGCAGGAAAAAAAATCATTAAATCAACGTATCCTTTCAAGAACATTAATATAGAGGAACAAACTGCATAGATGTAAATAGAGTACGGTTTGATTTAATGCTGCCACTTGCAATATTTTTTTAACTATTTGTTAACAATTGAACCCTTCATTACTCACAAGGCAAGGCTCTTATATGTCACGTGTTACTCACCTGAGAAAATAAAATAGACCAGGATTTCCTCAACTTTCAAATAACTTGCAACACTTAGGAAGTAAACGGTTCAGTCGATTACATGTGTTTATTTAACTAATTAAATTATTTAACTTGTATTAGCATGGGACACAAACACACTAAAACAAACAAACAGGAAACTAATTGTGGATGTTTTTGGAACGTTATTGTAGGCAGCAGGCAGGATTAGGTAAGGCAAACAGTTTGCTGTGCAGACTGTGAAGAAATCATTATTAAATGTATTTTTTTCTGTTTGTATTCGTTAGTGACAAAGTAAGACTCATGTCTCTCTTAATCTGCAGTAGCTCCTGGTAGTCACTATTTAAACACCCACAACTACTGTATAGTTACCCAGGCTCGTGACACAGTACAGAATGAATCAGTGTATGAACAGATACCAAACAGGTTTATTTCTCTTCACCCACGTGACGTTAAATTACTGTCACATTTTTAAATAGTATTTCAGACATGGAGGAGTTCAGTGACTCGTACGATGGTTGTGAAGCAGATGCCCCGGCTTCCTGGGCAGAACAACAACACGAGTGTGTGCAGGAACTGGACGAGGTGGAGACTCTCAGAAGGAAAGTCAAGTTTTACTTCATGAACCCCTGTGAGAAGTATCACGCCCGTGGACGAAAACCTTGGAAACTTATGCTGCAGATTGTGAAAATTGCCATTATTACTATCCAGGTTGTACATTTTTACACATGATCTGGGCAGGTGTGGTGTTCTTTTGTTTTTTTCATCTTTAGTTTGGTAACACATGTCTCATTTTATGACAGTTGGTTTATTTTGGACTCAGTAACCAGATGGTTGTCCAATTCAGAGAAGAAAATCTCATCACATTCAAGCAAATTTTCTTAAAGGACTTTGACGAAGACACAGACACTTACGCCATCTACAGACAGGACGATGTCTATAAGCACATTGAGTTCATCATTTATCAGGTAGAGCAACGGTAGCATTCCATACTTATTGTGATTATTCAAAATAACTGACGGGATGTTTTGCATTGCAGTGGTTGAACTTTTATAACACTAAAAGAAATCACCTATAAAAAGTTAGAGCTTGGACTCTGGTCTTGTCATTTGAAAGTTATTAAAAGTGACCATGCAGGTGTCATATCTGCCAGTGTTCTTTCAGTTTTGGGGAAGAGAAAAATCAGTTAGAAGTTAAACCTAATCCTGGGCAAATGTTCACAGGTTTCAAGTTTTAGATGTTTGTGATTATTTTACCATTGTTCATTTTTGAATATTAGAAAACGAGTACATTAAGATGGTAGTTTAAACTTAAGAGGCTCCGTTGAAAGTTTCCCCACAGTGTGCAAATAATGTGAACTGTGTTTTAGAGCAACAAGTGGTGGAGATTAGAACTAATGGTTATGCAATGCAAGTAATTTTCCCCTTATAGATAAATGCATTAAAAATAATTTTTAATGACATTTATCCTAACGGATTTTCCCTGGTTTACGAGTTGATTTCAACAGCTTTTCAAGCTCAACACAGGTTGAAACTTGACAGATCTATACTGATGAAACCTTAGAGACAACCTGAGAGACTTGGCTTTACCTAATACACTTTTTCATTTTCAAATTGGACAGCTTTTAAAATTTTAAAATCTCTTTTAGAACTTTTTGACAAGCTGTATAATTTACATAGGTTTTACACATTAGTCATGCCTGAACAATAACTTAACCTTCCATTGTTTGTTACCAGTTCGGACGTCTGTATAACATTACTGTGGGGAATCATGAGTATGAAATAAACGGTAACGCATACACCCCACTATCACTGTGTCAGGAGTATTACAGGAATGCTACCATCTTCCCCGGAAATGAGACCTTTGAAATCGACTCCCAAGTACAAATAGGTATGCATGATCATTTATAGACTGGAATACACTCTTACATGGAAACATGTTTAGGATTGTTGCGTATTTGCGTGAAAATATTGAAAGTCTTTTGTCATTGTCTCCTCTGTGAAACAGATTGTCTGAAATTCTATCCAACACAACCGTTGTCTTTGCAGGATGTAGAGCCACCATTTGAAGTGTATTTCAAAAGGTTTGTACATGTTAGTGACTTTATTAAAGTGAAAGTGTTTTGTTTGTTTTTCTGTTTTTAGTTTTTAATCTGATGAAAACCAACATTAGTGTTTGTATCCCATGTCTTTGTCTTTCAGGTTGATCTCTATCACAGTGACATTTGTTCTCAAGGCCATAAATTTGCAGACAGTAAAATATCGGGAGCTTCCAGACTGCTACGACTTCACTGTTGTTGTGAGTTGCCAAATATTTTTACTTATATAAATAAGTTTCCTTTGTGTTTCAGTGACACTTAATTATTAATAACACTATTTTCAGCAACCTGTTACGAAATGTTTAAAAAAACAAAACAGAATTGGACGTTTTAGGCCCTGAGGGCATGAGTACTGCAGTAATATTGACAATGTTTATTGACTTAAGCGACTGGCAAATGTTTGAACGTTTTACAATATCAGTGTTGACATTTTTACCATACTGGCTGTCATGTTCACAGATTACTTTTGATAACCAAGTTCACAGCGGTAGGATTAAGATCAACCTGGAAAACGATGTGGACATTAATGAATGCAGGGACTGGAAGGTGACTGGTGTTAGTAAGTTTACCTCGAGTCTTTGTTTTGTTGTTGTTTTGTCCTGGATTCTGTCTGAGTTCCTTTCTGGTCACGTCAATTTTTGTCTCTCAGCTGCAACAAACATTTATCTGACCATGGCCTTTGACTGCATCATCATTTTGACATGCATCACCTCCTTCACTCTCTGCACACGTTCAGTCATCAGTGGGATTCGGCTTCAGCTAGTGAGTGATTTTTTTTTTTTTTAAGGCTATCGGAATGTCTGAATTAAAGTTATTTTTTAAATTAATCATTACATTTTTTTCTGATACATTTTAGGTCATGGTAAGAATGACACACACAGTCCATCCATGTTTTATACACTAGGAATGGTGAATCTTAATCTTAATAAATCATTAATAATTCTAACTAATCCACAGCTACAGTGTGACTAATTACATTTTGAAATAATTTTAGTCCTATTATTTTCCATATTGTTTTCAGTCAGACGTTACATTTTTAATCAAAGGAATAATTGTCGGAGTGATGTGAGGAGAAAAGTGGATGTAAATATGGATTATTTCCACACTTTTCTAGACTATCTCCTTCTCCTTTAACAGAAATACTCTCAGTACTGCAGTAAACACTGCAATGAAAAAGTCCCACTGTCTGACAAGTTGGAGTTTGTGAACGGTTGGTATATTCTGATCATCGTCAGTGACTTGATGACCATCATCGGCTCCATTCTGAAGATAGAGATTCAGACTAAGGTACAAAGACGTCAGTCATTCAACAGAACAGGAACTACTGTTTTTCTTTGTTTGATTTTGATTTTAACTGTTGCTCAAGGTAATCTTTACATCCACTTTGCTTTTAATCCACTTTTACCTGCAGGTCCTGACGAATTATGAAGGATGCAGCATCTTCCTCGGCACAGGCACCATGTTCGTCTGGATGGGGGTGATCCGCTACATGGGATACTTCAGGAAGTATAATGTGAGCACAGCAGCATTAGCAAAAAGGACATAAAATAATATATTTTCGCTGTAAGTATTCAGTTTGTCTATCATCGAACATGTCTGTTAAATTAATGCAGCATATGGACGCAATCATTTGGATTATACTCTAAGACAGGAAAATAGGCACATTTCAATTTCCAATCTGTTCTTTATGTGAGGATCCCTCTCTCTCTCACACACACACTCACACAGACAGACCATTACCATGTGTTCATGGACTATTTTCAGATCCTCATCCTGACACTTAGGGCAGCGTTCCCAAATGTTATCCGTTTCATCTGCTGCGCTGGAATCATCTACCTGAGTTACTGCTTCTGTGGCTGGGTTGTTCTTGGGCCGTACAATGAGAAGGCAAGAAACATTTATATTATTGACAAAAAGGTTACAGACCTTCTTTTTTTAGCTTTCTATTAGCCAGCTGAATATGAACCAGCCTACTTAAAACACAAGGCCTTCCTTTGTGTCTTTCTTTTGTGTCTCTGTAGTTCCGGACCTTGAACACAGTGTCCGAGTGTCTGTTCTCTCTCATCAACGGTGACGACATGTTTTCCGCCTTCATGAACATGAAGCATAAGAGCACCTTGGTGTGGGTTTACAGCAGGATTTACCTCTACACTTTTGTTTCACTCTTCGTCTACATGATCTTGAGCCTTTTCATCACAATCATCACTGACACCTACTACACCATCAAGGTAATAACTTATATAGTTAGCAAATCATCCAACTACCCTGTGAGTAATCAGAATAAAATACGAGTGGTTTGACAACCCTTATGTTTAAGTTTCCTTACGTTTTTTTGTCTGGAATAATTTAGGAGCAGCAGCAGAGTGGAACACCAACATCAGACCTGGAGAAATTCCTGTCGGAGTGTAGAGATTTGCCAAACTCTGGTGTGTACAGACTCAACCAAAGCAACGACTGCATCTTGGACTTCTGCTTCAACAGGTAGTTAAGTCAAAGTTAAGCATTTTAATTCTTACTATTCACAACATACACTGTCTCAGTTACAGTGTTTTCTTCCTCTTAGGTGTCGGCAGTATCAGGAGAGAATGACCTGAGGGTCTTAAGCTACGTCACATGAGGACACTTTAACATGTACAGTATCTGCATATTGTTGTTCACTTCGAGGCTGGTGTAAATAAACCTGTAAATTTTCCGAAACATGACAAAAATTGAAATCAAGAATGTTGATTTCAATGTAACTAAAAAAAAAACAGAGATTCTAATAAACAAGTTGTGATACAAGTTGTTAGATTTTATTTCTCCATTGTCAGGAGAAGGTGGCAAACATCAAGGCTAAAGGAACATGTATTTTTATTTTACCTCACTAAATTATTTACCTGTAAAATCTTATTACAAATAACAAAAAATCCCATATTACTTCATGGCAGTGCACCCTGAATGTTTTCTAAAATCAACATCCAGAGGTAAGCTCTGACTGTCACTGTAACGTACCAGATTTGAACCTCTGAGTTGTGCAAGGCTTCCATCCAAAACCCAGACGTCCCATGTATAATAACGGTGGAACAGGCCTCACACTGTCCTCATAGCTTCTCTGGAGAACCTCCGAGACCAGTCCATGGTTACAATTTATACAGTTTGGCTTCCTTTTTGTTTTTACAAAAGTAGTAGATATGTAATCCAAATCCAGTTTTTAAGAGCGACTTGATGCAAGCCTCCAGAACAGACAGATGTCCAATACCGAGGTCTCTGATTTTAGTTTTTTTCCCAACAATGTAGACCAACATTTCCTCAAGTCATATCGACCAGAAAAGCACAGGGCAGGGTTTTTTTTTTTGTGGCTTCTTCCTTAGTCTTTAAAAAAAGGTCACTTCATTAGTACGCTAATAAAACTCACACACTCAGTCTAGTTTGGTCTGGTCAACACCAGGTGGCGGCTGGACACGCTGCTCCTCCATCCTGTTAGACTGGGAACGCAAGATGAGACTGAAGAAATCCTCATCAGGAACAGTTGGTCCTCTGTGTGTAGAAGTAGGAGCAGGACACCTCTGGTCATTCAGTCTTGACCCCTGTTTGAATGTGAGAAAAAAATAATTAGTTAAGTTGGTAACTGACAATCAAACTGCAGCCAAGTTTGTCACTACTCCTTAATTTTTTTTTCTGTCTTAAAAACTGGGTAACTTGTATCCTAGTCTTTAGCTGAAGAATTTGCGTTATCCACTATGCACTAACATAGGGCAACAGCACACCTAAGTAACTCAGGTGCATAAACCCGGACCATATATTGTTAGGCAAAACCTCTTATAACCTAAGCTGAGGAACAGTACTGTATTTAAAAGAACTCCTCACCTGGCATTTAACCAACATATCAAAGAAGACTTCATCTCCCTCAGGCTGCTCAGTACTGGCCTCCAGCTGGCTGTGCAGGGAGGGTTTGTGTGGGGCATCTGTGCTGCTGACGGGCACTGGGAAGAAAAAAAAAGGCATGAGTCATAATGTAAGCAGTGACAGTGGAAGTAGATGAAACCTCATTAATGTGAAACCTTGTGTGGGGACTTGATCTGCGCTGGAGGTGGAGGGTGTACGAGGCAGGTTGGAGGTGCTGAAACGTAAGCCAGGAAAATGGCTCAGGCTGACTCGCTGGTCGTCCAGGCGACGAGACTGGGAGCTGGCCAGCAGCTCCAGGAAATGACCAGGATCCTGTGAGGGTGGCTCGCATGCTGAAAAAGCTGGAAATACAATATTTATTACCTGTGAGTGATTTGTGGCTGATAGACGGGTGAGGGTGACAGCAGGACAAGCTCATAGGTGTTTGATGAGATAAACAACAGGACAAACTGAACAAAGGAATGACATTGTCAGGTTTTTGAAAGGTGCCATATAAATAAAATGTACTTATTATTTGTTTTGTTAAATGATACATAGAGCAATCTTCTGCCAAATATCTACTTTCTGGGCATCAAACATCCACGTGGTTGGTTTTGTCCTTCATGGAGAACACACACACTGACTGGATTTATGGTCGACAGAAAAAGAACACTAATGACACAATTTCCCAGTGGACAAAAAACAAAATATAATACAAGTAAGTGCTCAATGGAGGATGAAACCACAAAGCTTGAAGGAAAAACTTCCAAGGCTAGAAGAAGTAACTTTAAAAAAATAATAAAATAAAACAAGCACAGGTTCTACAGGAAAAAAGCTTCTTGGACATGGACAGCTACATGAAAATGGACCAGGACACTTCTGACACAGACGGAAACACAAGAGACTGACTCACATTTTCTTTCAGCTACAGGCGGGGTGGAGGAGGAGGGGGGATGGGTAGGGAGATGGTTCTGACCATCCAGTAGGGAGCACCTTTGGTCGTCCATTCTGTTGCCCTGGAAACGAGAGAGGAGGTCGAAAAAGTTGTCTTCTCCGATGGTGTCGTGTGTTCCGGGCTGTAGAGTTAAAACAAAACAAAAAAAGAGAAAACAAAAATGTTTTGGAATCAACAAGATAGAGACTAAAGGAGTAAAAACCAGTTTGAGCAAGCTGTACCTAATATATTGAATATTCAGATTATTTAAACATTCTCAAATATTAAAAGTCAAAATATAATATAATATACAAAGTCAAATACTTCAACATCAGAAGCCTGTTTTTCCTCATGCATACAGTCCAATAAGCCTTGGTGCTGCACATTATTTCGTCCCAGTGTCCCTACACTGTTTGGTCAAATGCTGAGTCATCACATTCATATTTCATTTGAGGCAACAGCCAGTGTGGTGCTTGTGGGTAACCAGTGAGATCAGAATGTTTAAAAACACCTTTTGGGACACAGGTGAGTCCTGATCTGAGGCCGTGTGATCACTGCAGTTTTCATGCTGCTCTTTACAAGGTGACTTCTTCTGCTTCTTGCTCATCAGTCGATGGAAGAGGAAGAGCTTCGTGGAGGCCTTGATTGTGTTGTGCTTCGAAGAGCTAGGCGGAGAATCTTCCTGCCAAACGAAGATAAATGACTGATGGCAAGTGAAATAAATCTTTGTTCGAGATCTCAAAAGGGACAAGGAGTTATTTTAATACACCTGTGCAAATATGTACTCATGTTTGAACCTCAGTTTAGGCAAACAGCTGTTAATATAAACACAGCTCTCGTCACACTGTACGTACTGGATGTGTCTGTGAATCTTCGCTTTGGTTGTGCTCAGGACTTGGACTCAGTCTCAGGTTTTCTGGGCTGCATCTTGTCCTCAGCGGAGTCATCCCCACTAGAATAAAGAAGGAACATGATTTTTACTTTTTTAAATGCACAGAATTAATACAGGTGAATACAGATACACATTTAAACAAGTCCCTTTTACCTGGGAGGTTGATGTAACCCTGGTAGCTTACTGGCAAGACAGAACTATTGCTATTAATGTTGCAGAAAACGTTGGGATTGATGTTGGAATTAGACTTCAACCCTACGACCAGCCGGAGGTCTGACAGGTTCATTCTGGCTGTTTCTTCTCCGCTTTTGTCTCCTGTCTTTAGAGTTTGGAAAAACAAATATGTGCAGTCATTAACTAAAGCCTGGGGCCATGTTCCATTTAGCATATCCACAGTCTTAACTATAACTATACTCCATGCTGTTCGTGATATAGCCAGTAGATGGAGCCGCAGACTAACGGCAGCTCGCATTCGGCCTCTAAGGGAGGAGGTGAGACGTTCAGCACACACCTCTTTGGCGATTTCCAGATGTTTCTCAGCAAAATACATGGCCTGCTGATGATTCCCTAGGGCGGTGTGGGCATTTCCTAGACTCCAGTAAGCTCTTCCTTCACCCACTCTGCAGTGACACAAACACCAGCACACAGACAGACAAACAGGCTGAGCAACTTCAGGCAGGGTTGGGCAACAGTCAGGAGGAAAAACCGTCACATTGTAAAACTGTCATGTTTCACAATCACAATTGTGTTATTACTCCTCTATTGTCTTTTTGTAGTTTGATACATAAAAAGTCCTTTAAAGACACTTTTCTAACATTACTTAATAATTACATAACAACATTATTTTTTTGGAGGATGTGAGAAAAATACTAGCATGATTTTAGACCAGTTCAGGGACTGGGTTGTACAAAATGGCCTCTGCTGTTGTTACCTATCATTCAGGTCCTGTGCAATGACCAGATGTTTGAGGTGATAATCAATGGCTCTCTCATAGTCCTGCAGTAGTGTGTAGGTGTTGCCCAGACTGTAACAGGCCTGGGCCTCCACTGCTCGGTCTTTCAGAAGTCTGGCCAGCTGCAGAGTTCTCCTGAGGGCAGGGGAGAGGAGAGGAGAGGAGGAGGGAGGTCAAAGAATGTGTAGGGTGGGTGCAGTGGAATGTTATCTCTGTGAAGCTAATCAGTCACTGCTGCTCCACATCTATACATGTGTGCAAATGTATATGCGTGGGACAAAAGAAAATAGTTTAGAATCTAACTTTAAACTCACTGTATCAACGTGACAAGTTGCCTGGTGACCTTAGGTTGTTATTAGCTGACAATAATAAAAACAAAACTTACTTGTAATGACCAGCTGCCACATCGTACTGGCCGAGGAATATGTGCGCATTGCCGAGGTTACAGTGGGCCCTCCTCTCTGCCGACTTATCCCCAAACTCTTTAGCGATAAGTAGCCGCTGCCAAACATAAAAGAGAGTTTGTTTTTAATATAAGGACTCCAGTGCTGGTGCTGCGGGCTGGTTTTGCAACCGCCACAGAATTAAACTTCCTCTGCATAAAAATAAAGCAAACTCTGCATAAAGATATCCAGTTCTATGCCAAACTTTTATTAGCTGCAAACCCAAAACAGTTGCGATCTGTAGTAAATATTTAAATGTTAAGTTTGGAAATCACCACTCTCGTTCTTATGTAACTTCAACTAAATACTTTGCAGATTTGTCTGTAAAGTGGACAGCTTACCTTTTCATGTGCAACCACTGCATTTTCAAAATCCCCCAGAAGGTAGTAGGTATTACCCAGGTTCCCATAGGTTCGGCCCTGGGCTGCACAATCCCCCAAATCCTTCACTAGGCACAAGTTTGCTCTGATGACAAACAAACAGAGATCAATTCCCTAAATACAATTTGCAGTGAGAAATCCACATTTTCACAGAAGGCAGTTAGATGTTCAACTCAACAAATCAGAACTTTTTTTCCTGCCTCTTCATCCCAAACTGGAGTCTCTCCAGCCGGAAATACTTCAAATCTAAAACTTGAACTTGTCATAAGCAGATTATTTTTTGCTACATCCAAGCAAGTCAAAGACTTCTGACCCTTACTTGTTGAGAAACTGTGGTGTCTGAAAAGCAGCATATATATCTGTTCAGCCACTATAAATGATCTGCATCATCCATATCCACTGCCAATGAAATAACAGAGACAGGGGTTTAAATCTTCTCTCATATTAGAATATGCCAAAATGTTGACATTTTACAAATTTAAGTCCTGATTATGTGATGACAAATAACCAATTGCAGCCACTAAGACTTTAATGTGGGGTTAAATGTTCCAGTCAGGTCAGTCCGGAGTAGGAAAGTAGTATTTCTGAAATGTGCTGAACTTTTGGAATTCTTACATCACACCGTACCCACAAGTCCAGGACGTACACAAACCTAAACTGGTGAGTCTGACGAAAGCTGGACAGTTGGCCAATTGGAAAATGGCACCGGTTGCATCAATCTGCTTAGTACTTAGTACCATTCTCTCTTCAAAAAACGTAGGCACCATTTTAGGGCCAACCCTTATCAAAGCTGCAAAAAAAGCCAATATAAAGGTAAACAAAGTTCTGGACTCACTCGTAGTACTGTGCAGCCTTCTTCAGAGCTATCCTGGCCTCCTCTGGAAACACTCCTGGATCTGCTCCAGTCCAGCAGATGCTCTTCCCCTTGGCGTGGTAAACGTTCCCGAAATTATACAGTGCTCGAGCCTGCCCAACCTACAGCACGCACAGCAGAGTTTCACAGATGGAAACCACTGTGACCACTGCTGTAATTACATACTTAAAATACACTGACACCACACCTGCTTGTTTGCATGGCGGCTGGCAAAATATTCTAGACGCTGCTGGTACGCCAGAGAGCGGCGTTTTATCATGCATACCTAAACTCCTGTGTGGCTGCACTGCAGGTTATGAGCTATGACTTAAAAGCAAATTTAGATCCATTTATTGCCATCAAAGTCAATGGTCCCTGGAGTCGCTGATTCGACTTTTCACTTACAGAACAGTGAGAATCAATTGCTTCCTGTCTGCAGTATCACTGAAATATGACCCACCTTATCGTATATGGCTCTGGTGATTTCCAAATGTCTCTGGCAACAAACCACTGCTTCATCGTATCGCCCTAACAGCTTTAAAGTGTTCCCAAGGTTACCACTGGCTTTGGCCTCGCCAACTTCATCTCCAATTGTTCTGTGATTTTAAGGAAGAGGGAAACATTGGAAAATAATTAGAGAAAGATATTAGTCAATTACTGTACTGTGTTAGCAGAGAAAACACCGGAGGGTAGCAAGCAGTAATTTAGTGGTGTCCAGTTATGCAATGTTAACTAAGGGGGAAATGTGCGTGTGATTAAAAAATGTTTTAGCGTTCATTCAGAATACTGAGTTTAATCCTAAATTACTCACATACACAACAATTAACATTGGATTAAGCTCAAGGAGGAGTGAAAGGAAATGATTTACCTCGTAAGTGTCAGGTCATGTCGATGGTACTCCAGGGCTTTGTGGTACTCCTGCAGGTGAAAGTAGGCATTTCCCAGCTGGCTGTAGATGGCGCTGAGTATCTGAAGATCTTCGGTTCCCACTTGGATGGCTGACTCAAAAAAAGAGACGCCGACTCGATAGTCACCGATTTTACAGAGCCGCTCACCTTCAAGAGCTAGGTCCAGACATGATGACTCCATCCTACAGGAAGTGTGTTCAGAAATGACAGTAAGATCTAACAGTAAAATCTAACAGTAAAATGTAACTACAGTTTCTGATATGAAAGTCTTCCATTGAACTTCCACTGTTCCATATCCAAAGAACAGAGGATCATTTTAAGAATATGCTTTTTCCCCCCCCAAAGTTCCTCCGCCCTCACAAGAATCCCAGCTCTGAATACACTGGAGCATTCTACAGTATTCTACTCCCACCTGTGTCAGCATCTGTAGGGTTGGGTTCTATGCAGCTCCCTTTGTCCTCCAGACATCAGCATCTCCATTGCCAAATTCATCATAATTATTGTATACATTCATTAAAAATATCGATTGGTCTTCAAAACGATGATCAGCCTTGGTTAAGCAGCATTGATCATGAAAAGAAAATATAAATCAAACTGTGCAGAGCGAAAAAGTGCTCTTTAGGTGATGCTTCACAACCAGTCCGGAGGAAAAAAAAAACTTTTGTCCCAAAGGTAAAATCTGTAATGGTTGGTTTTAATGTCCAATAAATAATAAAAAAACCCAGACATACCATAGATCATGACTCAAGAGCACTGTCTTACAATTAACTCTGATGTAACACATGACAGACAACTATTTTATGATTCACACCCTTTTGAAGAAATAAGATCATCTCTTTGTGACAGAGTCAGACGGCGGTGATGAAGACATACCAGTGGAATCATCCTGGTACGACATCAATATGTTATAAAACAAATCTGGTCCTGCATGGATGCACATGATTCATTACAACAGAACTGTGAAAGACAACAAGAGCTACAGCTCACCTAGCTTCTCCAAGAGGCATGATGATGAAGCCTGAGGTAAGAATTCAGAAAACCTCTCTCATAGCTGTCTCTGATTGGCTGTACACTAGGACCATTCTGAGGTGAAACCTTACCTCTCATAGTTACTGTTCAGTAAATCTGTGTTCTAGGTGGTTCATGCTTTTAACATCAGGGATACATTAACGCATGACTAAATCTTATCACTGGGAGCACGTTCAAAGGGTGGCTTGAGGGCCCTTGGGGACACATTCTTGAGCATGTGTGGACACAATCTGTCTTCAGTATGCATTTTTAAATAGCCGCAAAGGTTGGCATTTCACTATATTTTCACAGTAACACTTTCCTACAGTTCTGTTTTGGGATTCTTTATTCATTGTTATGGCTTCTAATGGAGCCTTGTTTCAAACCAGTCTACAATGAATGGAACTAAAATTCTCCAAACTTAAAAACAAAGTGACAAGCTATCATAGCATGGCAGCATGGTTGTGGTTATGTTAGCCACCAGACACAACTACAAAGAGATCAATACATGTGAGCACGTGTAAATTAGGAAGACATAATACACACATTTTGAAAGATAACTGAAAGCAACCTAATGCTAACAAGCAGAATATAGGCAATTTTCTGTCATTAAAATCAACTGGTCTGCCAACCTTACATACCTGCTTTCTTTCCCCATCCTCATGCACATAAGAAAGCCCGACACAGCGGACATTTCAAACTTCTTTATCTTGTAAGTCACACCATTTCACCACAACATTCTTTAGCGCCTGTTTCCTTTTGTGCCAAAACATAATGTGCTGTAGACTCATGAAAGGAAAGGAAAAAACCCAGCTCCCATCCGGTGCCTGTTGCCCGCTGTTCAGCTAAGTTGTGTTAGCAACAAGCGGAGGACCTAATCCACTCAGTGCTCACATTGACCTCCGGGGTCCAGGATTGTAAAGAAAGTCTGTTTGTTAAAGATAGAGGACAGATAAACACACAGTTGCTCCTGTGCCCAAAGGAGCAGACTGAGCGAGGAGCTAAGTCCCATTGTTTGGCAGAACCTCGTATTTCTCCACTACTCAGCCAATGGCAGCCTCAATCCTCCAGCCACCTGACACCGTGTGTCACTTCCAATTAGAGCAGACCTCAGTGCTTATTATAGCGTCCTTAAGTGGCTTCTATGACCTCTAAGACAGTTTGCTCACCAATCCATGAAATGATCACAAATATGAAGACTACAAACAGAGTAGAAAATCATCAAAAGCTGAGAAATATTTGAACTAAATAGTACATTACTGTTGCATTTTCGTAATTTGACCAATTACACATTAACACTGTCATCTGGAAGGGAGGTCGTAGCCTGGTAAATTATCTGTACTGTTTGTGCTGCGTGCAGCAATAATTAAGTCTCAATAACGACTGCAACTGTCGTTTTCCTGCCAACACACACATGCAAATCCTGGATACTCGGCTCTCCGTCTATCAGATATCGTTCACATCAAGGCACAATCCTTTTACCAAAGCTTATCACAGCCCTGCCATGAGAAATCCACTTGTGTGAATTAACTAAGAGGTAAATTCGCCGTTATGGGCAGGAAACAAAGTTGGCTTCAGACTAGTACATGTGCCAGTTCCACTTACAGTACCAAGAACCAGATCATCTGCAACATGCCAAGTGAAAAGAAACTAAACATCTGAGCAGACTCAAACTTCCTTTTGTTTTCTATTACTATTTTATGCCCACTCAGTTACAGCATTGTTCTTTTGGGTTACCACCTTAGATTTACCTCAGCCATAAAACCCTTCGTGTGGGGCACCATGTTATCCAGTATGTGAAACAGATGGCACTGTCGGAGCTCAAGACCGGACCGGCAGGTATCTGTGTATCTGATTCTGGCAGTAACCTGCAGGCAAGTTCGTTACTGCTTTCTAAATGCACTGTAATTCATCTGTGGGAAAAATGCCAGTGGTAAACACGGACATGACGGGGCTTGTTTGTAATTCCTTAGATTACAACTAGTTTGTATTGTGGCCGTTCTTTCCCTGCACTTTACATCTTTCTACTAAAAAAAAACAAACAGAAAACTGACAGAATTGTGTCAACAATTCAACCAAAATTAAATCCTCATTGTTGAAGGACGTGAAAGCCAAACTGTCAGGCGTTTATTCAGGCTCACAATAAATATTACTCATGCAATGAAATATTTACACTGAGGTTAGCGTGGACCTCCTGTGGTCTACTCACATAGTTACTCATGTGCTGGCCAATGAGGTGTCACGTTGCTGCCCACAGAAAAAGACATTGTCAATGTGCTATTTATACTGTTACTGTTATTAATCAGCTGCTGATGTTGTCAATAGCAAAACACCAGCTTATAAATTATATAAATTAGCTATTATTTTGTTTTTCATTTATTAGCAAATATGTGCATTGACTAAGTGACATGTATTGAAAATTGATTTTTATTGAGTTAATTATGGCTTGATGTCATTATTTACTTATTCACAGTCACAGTCATAAACAACTGATAACTAAAACTGCATGTTGCCAGTACTATAAATCCTACCTCTGTCGGACATGAAGTAGTTGCTCCCTGTCCTGTGCACACAGCAAAAAAAACCTGCTGGACATTACATTCAGACCAACAGTGTGGACAAACACGTGGATGCTGGTCAACAAACAAATTCCAAGGGAGGAAACATCAAGAAGACGACTTTTGAAAAAGAAGTTCTCCTAAAGACGGACATGTAGTTATGCAACGGGTTCAATGAAACTGAATTTGAGAATAGAGCCGCAACACTCTCTCTTTCTCTGTATACATCGTGTTGTAACTCGAGCCGTGAAACAAGAGTAAACGATGACACTTGCCGTATGTCTCAAGTGTTTCCTTATAAACCCACCACAACAAACAACATGTGGTTTAAGGAGGGGGTTAATGTTTTTTACAAGAAACATTTTTATAAAATGATCGTGATGTTATATTGATTGTAAAAACAAAAATAAACCACACCACAGATTAATTTGGCTTGTTGAGCATCCATACTTTTGACGAAAATAACCATATGATGGTTACAGAACCATTGACTTAATTACAAAACACATAAATACTAGGATCCGACTAATGGAACAAATCCTGATTTATCCTGTTAATGGTGTTTAAATATAAACTAAAGCTTCTAAAAATAAACCCCAAGAGAATAGCTCTGTCTGAAAACAACTGAGGAACTGTGTCCAAACATAAACTTCAAACCTCAGAGGTATGGAAGTACTGTAAATGAATTGGATGTAGTGAAAGTTAAAGAAAATTAAGTTCCAAAGTTGTATCATTAAGACGCCACAATGGTTTTTCAACCAGATGTTTGACACATAACCAGTGACCCGGCTCTTATAGGGCAGTCTAATTGTCAATTGCATTGGTGTCGAGTCACGGTTACCATATGGCGCTGTGCTTTTTCTCCTATTTTATTCTAAATACACAATACGATACCCATTATGAATTTATATTTTGCTGATTTAAATTCACTCAGAGTTCCTTCGTTTTCACATGACTGCATCCATTTCTTACACTGTTTAAGCTGCATGGTTAAACTCCATTAAGACAATTGACTCAAAAAGGAAAAAGGATATCGTCACAAGCAAACACAGACCAAAAGTAATAAATGCTCATCTGCCTTTGAGGAAAAGATGATGTCGGATTAGCTCAGATGGTTGACTAATGCATTCTGAGGCTGTGGACTGTGGGGATGTCAAAGGACTGATGTCTTTTTATTACCATACTAATCTATGAGTTCATTGAAACCACTGAGACGTCACCATGACGCTGGGAGTAAAGATTGGACGAGACTAAGTAGCAGTGATGGTGGCCCAAGGGTAACGGTAACGTAATTTGACGAACATCACAAACAAAATATCAAACATATATAACAAAGAAATGGAGAATATGATAAATACCAGAGCCAAAGGTTACACACTTGTGATTCAGATGTTTTATATATGATCTATCAGTTGTAAAAAAAAACTCCCAGTCTAGACATTTTTAATCACTGGGAGGAACAGCATGGACAGATTTTGTAAAGACAGTTTAAGTAATTACATGTTATTCATAAATTTTCTGGGTCTAAACCACAGGAGTGTGCACATGCCCACATACAGTACCAAAAGGTCTAAGTATGAAGGAAGCTTTGTTTTTCCTGCAACACTAACATTTCTGTGCAGTCATGAAGTATATGTTGCACTTTTATTATCACTGTTCTATTACTGTAGAACTTTAATGCGACCCAATTTATTTTGCACTAGTAAAAAAGAGGAAGCTCGGGCAGAACCTCAGGATATAAATGTCCCTGTGGACCAATAAAAAAACAGCACTGTCGGAGCGCTCTGCTCTGTGTTACTTTGTCATATAGTGACATGATAAAAAATGTTTTTGATGTGGCATTTTTAACCATAAGTACTTCAATATGAATCTACCCAACAGATCCCATATATGAAGTGACAACCGTCTTTCCTTTGAAGAAAAAAAACATCATTAGAGACCTCACCCTAAACCCTGCGTGGGAAAAGAGTATTTAATTAGTCAATTTACTCCACAAAAAGATCTCTACTCAAAAAGAGCAGCTTTCACAAAGAAGGACACGGGTGGTTTTTCTTTCAGTTGGTGCCCTGCAAGACTTGTTAGGTCATCTGAGCAGCTCAGAAATAAAGTCTGGTTAGAGCCACAGATGGGATGTGGGGTGGTAATTTTGGAAGTACCCAAAAGAGTTGGGGAATTTCATACAATTCTGTTTTTAACATTAAAACTTTAATAGCACTTAAGAAATAGAGAAGGTACCACCTATAAGGAAGGCTAGCCCAGTGATGGACGTGTGCTAGCTGAAGCAAATGCAAGAAGACATGGGTTGACACTTTGCCAGTCCGTCACGAGGCCAAAGACAACCCAGTAACATCTCACAGGGTAAAGCAACTGTTACAACAAGTGTCAAATCATCCTAATCTCCAACTGTGTAAACATGAGATAACCATAACAAGGAGAGCCTGCTAACCACATGGGAATTCTATCAGTTCAATCAGGTTGTTTAAAGCAACATGTTCTTGTTACAGGGTGTTTTATGAAGATCACAGGATCGTAGGCGTAATCTAGACATAATAAAACAGAGATTTTCTCCCAGGACTCAATTATTTTACCCTTTTTCATCCATAACCTGAAACCAAATACATTTTTAGTAATACAAATCTTACGAATAGGACAAATATTTCGATCCACTCTGAATTTTTGAAAAAAAAAAAGGATAACTTTTTTTAGGATTTAATAAATTTTATAACAACGCTTCTAATGTGCCTTAGATTTTAAGAGTGTGTTGTTTCAACTGTCCTCACAATTACCAATGATCAAACTTTTGGGTCACGACCCACGACTTTAGAAACATTCTTTTAAGGCACATTTGTGCAGAGTTGAGAAAAACAAATGGCAGCACATAGTGGGAAAAACAACAAACTCCAGAAAAGCATTGGAATTCCCTGTGTCCCGGTCACCTGTTTTCCTTGAAATCAACTGTTTTTTTTTTTGTTTTTTTTTTAGTGTGTTTCTATTTAAAGAGACGTTGTAAATGTGCCTGGTTGTTGCACCGATGAAACTAAAACTAAAGCAGTGTTAAAGCAAAGGACTCTTGTAATCACTCCTGGGTTCCGCGAATTAAAAAAAAACAACAACCGGGGACTCGCTGTGGTCGTGTTTCTACCTCGGCTCAGCTGTTTGCAGCTTTGACGATGACACAGCCTCGGTGCTGATGAGTGATTAAGTAATCATGTGCTGGAAAATGCTACATAGTGAGTCAGTTTAAAAGTAGCGTGTCGTCACATGTTTGCTGTCTGGCTGACACGGCTGGCGAAGTACACATTGACACGTTTAAGTATTTATATGGGAGTTTACTTTAAAATTAAACAGACGTAGTAGCTGAAAGTATTGTCGTTTTTCCACTCCTAAAGTATGTAAAACAACTCCAGTGAGAGGTAACAGCAAAAGCCAAAGTACCCGGATGGAAGGCAAAACATTACGGTTAATTATTTCACCTACCTTAAAGTGAAGTACGTGAATACACCACGGTCATGGCTTTACTTTGAAAAGAAAAACGTTTTAAAGGTCAAACCATCCAGAAACACACTCCTCTCCGAAAACTTTGCAGTACAATGACTAGTTCCTCGTCGCTGTGGTGAAGGATGACTCCATTGCCCCGGGAGGAGAAAAAAACGCCACTCCTCTCCCTGAAAAATCTGACTCCAATTAAAACTCAACTTCTGCTGCGTTCATGTGACGTCGGAAATATATGTCGAGCCTCACTGAATCAGTGAGGACTCACTGTAACTGCAATTTAAATGGACGTTTGCGTAACGTTTGCATTTTTAGATTACATCATATGCCGGCAGCAAGTGGTGAAAAACGAAATGTGTTTGAAACAGTTTAGTCTTAAATATCAGTGACTTTAACGGTTTATATCGCCCCCTGCTGCCAATGATGTTGTAACCAATCAATTCTAGAATTTTTTTTTGTCATACTTTATGGCTCATAAACCAAATATATATCGCCCTGTTTTTGTCATATATTTTCAGGATTTTTTTTAACTTATTAATATGTTGAAAGTAACACAGGTAATGTGTTTTTTTTTACCAGTACGGTGTAATTAGGTATTAAAACTGTCTTGTTTGTAGGAAAGACATGTTAAAGAAGTCACCTAAAAGGAGGAAACGATTTATTACAATGTGAATAAAGGGGAAAAAAAAACTTATTAAATGCATATAATTTTATTCCAATCTGCCTCAAAATACTTCTTTAACTTTGAGTAAGAAGGCCAACCTGGGTGATAACTGTGATTTGGCAGCTTAGATGAGTAATTTACATTCATCTTGAATACCATCTGTTCTGAAGCCCTGAAACGAGGACAGGCTGCTGCATCTTCATCAGTGGATTAGCTCCATCGTGCATGTTTCCTCTCCTGATGTAAAGCCTCTGTAAAGCTGTGTTCTTCACTGTTCTTGTTTGGTGAGTCGTTTTTAAGTAGGGTTTTTTTTTCAAGAGGAGTGGATTCTGTGGGAGTCAGACAAGAGGTTTTCTTTGTGGGAGGACGGGTAGTGGGGGTGCGGGGTCTTCCAGGGTGACGAATCAGTCACGAAAGTGATAGATGATGATTTTTACATCCTCATTCCCCCTCACACCCCCTCCCTCTCTCTATCTATCACTCCAGTTGCAGTGCTGGAAGATACTGCATTGCATCACTGGGAATCACCAAAGGGATTTTGTTATTCTGTAAATCTTGAATTTAACTTTTGCCAAAATGTCTCAAAGAAAAATTCCTGACAAGATTCATGTTCATTTCCTCATTGACTCTATCACCGTTGTCTCTCTACTACCAACCATAACAACCATATTTCATACAAAATAAAACTCCAGACGCCAATTATATTCAATTTATATAAAATATAAATCACAACAGATGTTAAAAAGCTACATTTATGGAATTTACATGTGAACAAATCAGTAAGTTAAATATTTGATTAGAATATAAAGAGCTGACTTTTAATTAGCTCATCATTTCTTCCAACAAAACTATTTCAAATCCTAACTATTTTCCTTCCACAAGAGTAAGAATATTGTTGAAGTTATTAGGTTAAGTATAAGCCTCACAAACAGATAATAACACCAGAATATATTTATGATCATCTATAATTTACCACCATCTTCAAATGAATAGGATTAAGCTGTGGTTGCTTTATGAGCACTTGCAGCGGGGTCATTCCAGGGCCAAGGAAACTAGATAGTATTTTTCTCATTAGCACAAATTAATAGAAGCCTCCAGTGACAGGGAGCAGAGCCATTTCCAGCTTCACCGTCTCTGTGGAAAAATTAAAGTAGAACAAATGGTTTTCCTTAGTTAAACGGTGGTGTATCGAGCAGGACCGGGACAGGATCGGAAAGGAGACAGGCTACTGGGGAAATCAGACAGGAATGCTGGGCTGTGAGTAGCCGGAGTCTCCATCAAGGCCTGCCGTTTCCTGCGGTCACGTCTCTGGTAGCGGAAGTTAAAGGGCGGACGCCGAGCCACCGGGCCCCCGACCTCCTCAGAGGATGAATCAAATACCCCAGCAACCGACGGAGGCTGCCGTTTGTAGCCCAACCTTTCAGAGGACTCGCTGGAGGACGATGTGATTGGGTAAGAGGGGTTAAAGGGAGCGGGGTCAGTGGGTGTGGGGTCAAAAGGTGCCGGCTGAACAGCAGGGAATGATGTTGGGTCAGACGGAGCAGGCTGTGGGTCATTTCCTGGGTCACTGATCAGAGGAGGGGATGCCGGGCTCAGAGGTTCACGTGGGAGATTGTGACCCTGCGGCTGTATAGGTCTGTGGATGTCCACGTTCTAGACACAACAAACAAACAAACAAAACATCATCACAGCAAAAAGTCACAATGTCTGTCAATTTTAAAAACACTAAAAACTGCAAAATGATTGACGTAGGCAGGGCAAGTCTGGGAAGAAGTGAGAAGACGGCATAATTATAGTACAGACCCCACACCATTTTCCATATCACTCTTATGTTAAAGTGACAGTAATTATACACTGGGCAGCTCCCATTCATGATTAAAATGTCGGCCACGCAGCGGCTTATTAACATGCAGGTCACACTCAATTTTACTTGGGAATCTTTGCCGTTATTGTGCTTTATCACCCATTTCTCTATGAGTTTTCACAAAGGTGGAATTTCCCCCTTTTCCTTAAGCTACAAGTGTTAAGCCTGACTGCTGCTGTTATCACATATTCATTGTACTGTCATGGTTCACAAAGCTCCACGGAGTGGCTCTTTCTTTCCCCTATTGTTTAATAGCATAGATCTTATTCATTTTTCTTTTCTGTCAAACAGAGAAATGACTGTTTCACACTTTCTTCCTTCACTCCTCTGGAATGGACAGAGTATCGATTAAGATTTCTGTCACCGATTCTTGGCTCATTTAAGGAACAACTGTTGCAATTTTGTCCAAAGTGACTCAGATGTAGGATTTTGTTGAGGACTGAAGAAGACTTATTTCCTCTGTGTTGTTTATATTTGTTTCTGCCCAGCTGTCTTACAGATAATGCTTCCTCCCCGACCCCGGCACTAATGTCTGTCAGTGTTTCTTTAAAACTATTTACATCAATCAAATGAAGACGGATTGTTAATGGTACATAGTTAAAAGGCATAACAACGGCAGTACAAAAAGAATTCCGGAGTTCAGTCTTTTCAGAACATAGAAAAGAAAGCGCGTCCCCTGCTGGACAGTAGTGGGATTACAAAAACAGCAGCTGCTATTTATTCAAGCTAAAATTAAAATTCAAGATTAAAATGAAAATCAGTTGATATGACCTTTACAAAGGAATAGCTGAATCATTAGAATCACTGAACTTTGTTCACTAACTTGTTTTACTCAAATATTTATTTTTTAAAATAAAGACTATTCTTCTGCATGGGTTAACACATCATAATTCAGGAAACTATACGGTGGTCTGTCCACAGCTGTAGACAGGTTTAAAGTTAGACCGTAACTCCCTTTTCTAAAATGTATTATTCATGATCTGGCAGCACAATCAAACACGATTAATGAATCATTTACATCCAAGAGCTAAAGCTAAGGCTTTAGGCTGCTTTATTTTCTCAAACAGAGACTGGATCTTCAC